GTGCTGATATTGTCCCAAGAGTTTCTACATAAAGCTCTGAGTATAGTTTGAGACGGAGAGCACCTGCGCCCCCTGAAGGCCTTTCTGTGTATGGCACCTTTGTTCAAGTCGTTTGTTAAGGGTTAACCTGTGGAGAGGCTTTTGAAACTGTATTTCAATAAACTATCTTCTGGAATCTGAAGCTGCACCTCTGTAGGAATAGTTTAAAAAAGTTTCGTTTAGAAACAGATTAGTTGCTCTTCCGCTCCAGGTTTTGACACAATTGTGTATTTCGTGTAAAGTTTCTCTACATGATCTGCTGAACTATATTTTGCAAACTATTTATCTGACATTTTCAAATAAAATTTGGTATTATTTTATAATTATTGGTATTATTATTAGTTTAATTTTACATTGTCTAGTTTGCTTTTGACATGTACTTAAAAAAAGAAAAGAAAAAAAATAGTGAAAAGAATGGGACAGCAATTAATTAATAGTAGCATGTATTTTTTTAGTCTTTATTTTGTATATAGGTTAAATTGATATTATTGTGTTAGCTTCTTTCTTCTGTCCCTAAAGAAATTTAGTTGTTTGTACGTGTTATTGTCGTATTATATCTTTTTCTGTGTTTCATTGAATCACAGAAGGATTTCATTCAAGAGAGTAAAAAATACATCCTATTCTCTGCTGTTTGTAAAATTTTGTTACATACTTACAGCATAGCTCATATTTTCAAAGCTTGTGACTTATAAATATTGGTAAAATAATGTATAAATCTATACATTATACTTCAATTTTGGTCCTCCATATGTCCAAATCAGTTCCATTCAGTCTACCTTTCTCCGACATGTGCCCGGTGATTGGTTGAGCTACTAACACGTGACTGTTGAGGACGCTAGCAGCTTCAGTTAGCTGTCGTGCGTCTCCGAGTTTATGTTTTGCTTTTCTGTCTCCGTTTGACTCTCCTTGCTTGCGGTACTTGTCTCCGACGTTTGTCGCGTGATTCTTAAATTGTTGCTGGTCAGCTGGTGTCAGAAGCTGATCTTCCTTCAGCTGTCAGAGGAAACATGAACACGGTGGTGACCAAATTAGAGCCCAAATGGATCAGTTTCACCTTCAGGCACCCTTGGTTAGCCGCTACGGCAGCCTCCAAGGTAACCGCTGCACATGTTAGCCTCTGTAAATGTGATGCAGACTGCTGCTGCACTGTTAACGGGCCATTTGTTTTCACACACATTAAAAAGTAATGCACTGGAGAAACTGTACCACATTTAAGCTAACCAACTCACGCAGAGCCAAGTTTGTATTTTTATTTTCCCCAAACTGGAAATAGAAAACAGATGTTTGACATCGCAGCTCCTCCAGCTGCTTTAATGGAGGTTAGAGGC